AATGGCCGTTTTGTATACATTTCAGCAAATATGCAACCAACAGACCAAACATCAACTAATAGAAATAGATATTATATTTCAATTCAATCAAATTTTACGTCAACAAAATTAAGAGAAGGAATGAACATTTATGTTTAGATCATTTATCTAAATTTTCTATGAAACTTTGTCAAATCTAGAATGATTATATGGAGCATAATACATGTTTTACAATTTGAATCAAGCTAGTAAATATGTATCTTTAATAAATATGATGGATTTGCGTATATCTACTTAACATTAGAAGTATAGGTGAATGTGAAGAGCGATAACGCTGACAATTAAAAATAATCTCACCCATGAAAGTTGCATTTTGTGAATACAAAAAATAAACAAATCTGTATTTCAAGCACCTGCTTTCGAAGCAGGACACATCGATTTAAACTAAGCGAAACAGTTTGTTTCTTTGTAGAAACTGTTGCATCTCATTTCATTATCTCAGCGTATGAAAAGAAGAATACGCATTCAGATCAAACACATAGATTAGATACTATCGAATCCTTATAATTCTAACTATGTCTTGTCAGAATCCTATTTACTAGATTTTCATGCTTTTAAACACTCGAATATTTCTGGTCCTATCATCCAATCCAAGAATTTTTTTCATAAGTAAATCATACATTTTATAATTCATATACTTTATTCATATATAAATGGTAGACCTTATAATTCCTATGTAGGATACCTTTAAAACATTATTAGAACTCACTTAACGTCAAAATTTCGCTGAAATTTGTAACAACGATCTGGAAACCCATATATGTTTGACTCCTCTTTTTTCTGTTTGATTTCGATTGGTTCCTCCTTTTCCACTCTTTTCTTTGAACGTCTTTTATACATGAACTCTAAGCAGAAAAAAAACTTACACGAATTGCAGTAAACATTTGCTATAGAGTCATACTGTTATAGAACTTGTGTCGTACATAAGCTTACAGACAGACAAATTCATTGAGCAGAGACTCATGATATTCGCTTATTCTACAGTAAAGAGAGATCAAAAAATTGCTTAAATTATATCTGAATATGCAGTTGGATAAATCTTATTTAATTTTTCCATACATACCTGGACATGAATAACGTGAAGCACCGAGTAAAACTTCAGGCGCTCGATACCACAATGTAACAACCTACATTAATAAATATAAAACCAATAAAGAAAAAACAAATATTGATTTTCTCTTACTTCATGTGTATATATTCGAAGTGGTACACTAAATGCCCTTGCTAAACCAAAATCAGCAAGTTTAATAATACCTTTCGTATCCACAAGAAGATTTTGTGGTCTATAATATACATTTATTTATACAGTATTATTTTTATTTTTTTACTTTAAATCACGATGAATTATTCGACGACAATGACAAAAAAGTAATGCATCAATTACTTGATATGTATAACTCTAAATATAAATAAATGTACTTAGAAAATGATTGATCTTTCTTTATACTCGAATTAATTCAACTTCCATATCTTCATTTTCACCTAAGCAATCAAAATATTTTTTTAAATCCATTGCTAAATATTCGAATATTAAATAAAGACGTGCATCAGTGAGAATAACATCACGTAGTCTTAAAAAAAAATGAAAAGAAACATTATAACTAAATCTGTATATTTGAATTCATTTTTTTTTTGTTCTAAACTTACTGAACAATACTTTGATGTCGAAGTTCTTTTAATATTGATATTTCACGTATAGCCGTTGCCGGTACACCATCATCTTCACCTTCTAATCGAATTTTTTTCAATGCATAAATTTGTGATGTTGGTCGATGACACACTTTATACACAATGCCATAAGTACCTTAGATTAATAATAATAAAAATTAAAAATATATTCAAAAAAAATTAAAAATTATTTTTTTCATCATACCTTCCCCAACTTTACTCAATCGTTCGAAATCATCAATATTAAATTGAGGTGGCATATTATTAGATCAATCTAGAATATGATGAAAGAATATCTATGTGTATGTATATCGAACATAAATGTTAAGCGATTGTTAATCAGACGATTTTCAACAAAGAAATACAAATGAAAAACAACCAATTAGAAGAGAAAGATCTTTACAATTAATGAAAATATAAAGAAGATTCATAGGATAATATTCAAACTATTCTTTAATCATTATTATTTACATAAATTTTTAATAAAATTCTCATACGACATTGAATTAGTACGAACGATGTCGCCACTTTGAACTATTAATTGTCATTTATACTCATAAGATGATATAATGATAAGACATTTCATAATCATCTGGTTTTTAATCAATTTTATTTTCTAACCTATCTTACATGATAATATTGATTTTGTTGCTAAAAGAAATATGAAATTTTATGTAAAATAAACTTAGATATCGTCAAATGCCACCTAAGTTAAACTTAGACTTTTCGAAGTATTTCTATGTTTTTTTTATTTTCTGACTATGAAAGTATGATTGAATGAAAACTTATGTAAAAAATCATATGAAAAAGTGATCAGTTCTTTTGATAGAATAGATTTTCGTTCTGATTCTTTTGAATAAAACAAATACAGAAGTCAGTTATGATCATTCTTGTATTTACTCTGATGTAGTACAATCTGGGATCGGATTCGACCTATAAATCCTATAATTCCTATATTTTTGAAGAATCCTATATTTTACCCTATATTTGAATCGCTATTCCTATTTTTCCTATATTTTATCAAAAACAGTAGAAAAACTTCTAAAGGTTTCACTATAGCCTGAGGGGGAGTACAGGAGTCTTCGCGGCGCTACCCCCCCCCCCCCCGTCATCACTTTTTACGAAGAACTCAGGAGATGAGAATAGGTGTCTCTTGCAGGTAACGCTCGACGTGCAATACCTACATTTCGGTTGGTTTTTTAGTGAAAATAGTCGTAAAATTCAGAAAACAAAATCCTATATAGGAATTCCTATATTTTCGAAAATTTGCAATCCGATCCCAGAGTACAATACAATGAACCGATTGACTTTTGCTCTTCTGTAAAACAAATATCTCATAAAATACTAGTTGACATATGTAGCGTTTTAGGCACTCTTTTATGAAATCTAAAAATAAAGTTTTCAATCGAATTCCATAGGATTATGATATATCACACGACAAAGTTGCTTTAGTGAAACAGAATAATTTTAATAACATTTCTGTCAATTTCTTAGTTATTGCAATTGGTCACTTTGAAGAATAATCTCTATTGAAGATGATAGATTTGGAAACCAGACTTATATTTGATAGTTTGACTCAGTCGATAACTAGTTGTACTGTACGCAAAGCTTCCTTGAAATAAATGAAGTAAAATCCTTGCCGGACAATTTGATAGAAATTGAAATGTGTTATTCGTGCGCAAAATCTCCGTGGATTGTAGTAAGAGGCCTATTTTGAAGCCTGAAAGATCATAGAGACATACCAAATGTATTACAAATTCAAGATAACTATCCTGAATTGTATTTATTAAGTTATTTTCTCACCATGTGAAGAACAAGCGTCATTAGTCGTCGGGATAGTTGAAAACAACTGATAGATCATCTCTGTCCATGCATAGCATGGTTTTTATATCGGATATTCAATAGAAACAATAGCTAGAAGGAAGAAACTTGTGATGTTCTGTTCTCTTTCCTATATAAGTTTGATATTGATTGAGAAATTTGAAAAACAACAAATGCAAATAGACATATCAATTGATTCTTCTTCACAAAATGAAACTTGAAGTTTGGAACAAGTAAGAAAAGTAAAGATTAGTTTTCGATTCATGTCTAATTAATTGTTTTGTTTCTAATGGAGAGATCTTTTTGTTTCACGACGAACCATTTCTTGGAATAGAGGTGGTATATCCAACAATGGTGATGATTTCTATGTCATCGATTGAAAGTCGTAAGAATTCCGCATATTTCTGAATTAATTTAATCGATCATTTTGAGAATCAAAAATTTGAAATTCAATACAATATATATACATTTGAAAGACTAATTTTTGAGTCAATTCTAGTGTTTGATAGAAGTAAGTCAAATAGAAAGTAGTGTCGAGATGAAGCCCATTCAGAATATAGCATTGAATTCATGTTGCGTATAGGTATTGTTGTTATCTATCAGAGATATTCATGACGACGCTGCCATCATCGCGACGGTTTCAACTTCTTTGTTTTTTAGAAAGATTGTAAAATTGCATGGATCTGGATTCGCTTTGAGTGTCAATAGTGGTAACTCTTATGGATTCACTTTAAGTGTCCTAATTTAGCACAATGACGGAAAGACTTTTCGAAGAATTTCTCAAAAATCTTCGCAGCAGCAGATTTTCAGTTTTGATGAATATCTCTGGAATTTATTCATATAATTTTGTATCATTACAAAAGCTGAACTTTTTTCTGATGAAAACCAATTATTCCATGTCGAAAACGAATATGCCTTGTTCCAATGATGCATTTCTATCTTGAAACGTTTGATTCTATTCATGCAGTAACGATAAATCACTATTAATGTGTCAAAAGACTGCATGAGCTCTTTCATGTCCTGCAATTGGACATGCACTTTTCATACAAAAAGTATACAAAAATTATATGAACAATTTCGAATAGTCCAATTAGCAGTTTTTGATATTTGTTGGATGAATATTTCATGCAATTTGACTCGTTTTAACCTCAAATCGATTTTTCGGAGGACGTTCACCTAGTTTCTCAATCAATCGAACGAGCTGAAATAGAAAAAAAAATTCTTCAAACGTGAAAATAGTTTTATATTTATATACAAATTTAACTAATCTTTTATTTTGAATATAACAAAAAACAATAATCAGTATATCAAAAAATATACACAAAAAAAAATTCATCATTTTTATTTTTACAAAATAGTTGTAGTCAAATAAACTGCCTATTTGTATGCACATATTTAAATGATTAATTATCTAAATCTATATCTGACATTAGAAGTATATATATATATATATATGTAAGAAAACAAAACATCTAATCTTTTAATCGAAAAAAATTTGTAATCGTTTTTTGACCAGCTACTAATGGTTTGCTATTAGTTTTCTTTTGTTTTTTACGTGGTGGTTCAATATTTGTTGTTGTTATTGTTCGTTTTACAATAGTTATAGGTAAGTTTTCTTTATCCTTACCACTAACTAATGAAAATAGTATTGAATGTTGACTTGTATTACTATTTTCATTTTCAATTTGTTGTCTTTCTTCATTACTAAAAGAATTAATATCGATTTCTCCTAATGGTTGACGTGTTGAACAAGATGAAATTGATTGTGACGTAATTTTATCATTAGAATCCATAGAATGATTTATGATTGCATCTGAATCGAAACTTTTTTCTTGAATTGTTGATAAATCAAGACAACGTTGTGATTTACTAGATTTTCAAAAATCAAAAAAAAATATATTTAAAGTTTCATTTAATTGTTCATTATTTACCGTCGTCGATATCGATTTTTATTACATGAATTTTCTTCATTTTCCTTATTATCTTTGTTTTTTGTTGTTTTTTGCCACAAAAATACAGACTCAACAGGAATATCAATTGATTTTTCTTCAATTGGTTTCTCTGGAACGTGATCAATAGCAATTGGTAATGGTGTTAGTGGACTTCTGTAGAATAAAAAAAAATGTTTATAAATAAAAAAAAAAAAAGAATATTAATTTTTCAATAAACGAACTGTAAAAGACGATAAGATGTTGCTTTTCGTAATCCTGTTGATGGGCTATCATAATGATCATTATTTGATAGAAGTATTGGTAAATGAATTGTTTGTTTAGCACATAAATAAGCAACAGAACGAAGAAAACGACGACCAGCTAATGTACCGCCAGATGATGCAGACTAAATAATATATTATTTATAAAGAATATTACTTTTTTATTTAGATTTAGATGAATTGATTTATCAGTGACATGATTTTGTAGAGTAGAAATATGTATATCACTGAACTTTCTTCGAACTAGATTTTTTCTATTAAATGGATTTAAAATTAGTCGGGATATTCTGAACGACTTAGCCTTAGAGACCGTTCTTCGACTAATTTCGATTTAAAAATATTATAAGTTCAAGCAATAGTTTTTGAAACTAAATAATTCATTTTGTAGAATTATAATTAATTATAGAATTAGCTAATGAATTTTATTTGAATGTGAACTCAAAGAGGTAACATTTTTAGGTATATTTCTAGTAAAAGAACTTATTTAAAAAAGATAGCCTTTGCAAAGAAACTAAGTCAAATGAAAAATAATCATACTCCGTTTTGATTGAGATTTCTTATACCATCATTGTTCTTTCAAACAGATTCTGGTATTTTACATTTACTATATACGCCGAACTATTCAATACTTTATCTATGTTTTCTTTTCTTAAAAAAGGGTAATTAGAAACTCCTAAAGAATCCACAAATAACATAGTATGCGGTGTTGACTATCGTGGGGATGGAATGTATTACTGTTTTCATCTATGGACTGAATAAAGAATTTCAGGTATTGTCTAGTTCCTTTTTAGTTGCGTTGATTGACTTATACCGGAACACTGAAGACACTACCTTCTGGAATAATTCGAGAGTAAAACTGAAATATATCTTTATCAAACTTTTGTGCTCCATTTACCTAAAAACTTACCGTGTCTTCTATTATAAACCAAAAATACCTAATTGCAATCAAAAAACTTGCCACTACTGCGATGAATGTTTCGGTTATGAATACATAAAACTTTAGAAACTCGAAGACAAACACTTTTATTCTTAAGAAAAAATGAATTTCAGCCTTCTCAAAGATATTTTATTTAATATTTCTCAGGATAGAGTATGTTGTTAGCAAACACAAAAAAAGATCCTTACTCAAACTTAAATGTGTTTCGTATATCAATATTGAAAATCTAATTTGAATCTTACTCGAATTGGTGATGCACAATCCATAAGTGGAAGTGTTGTTTGAAAACATTGACAGAATTCTTCAATAATTTCCTTAAAAATTAAATCACATCGACTCAATGAACTATCTTTACGTAGTTGTTTAGACATAAGTGTCATTATTTTACGAAATGTTATACTAGAACAAAAAGTCATAATTATAAAAATTCTGTAAAAGAAAAATTTTTTTTTTGTATTACTTTGATTCAATTTTGGAATGTTCATTTTCTTCGATTGTCATTTGTATTTGTTCAATAAAATCGAAAAATTCTTTTATACCAATATAATATTTATCAAGTATAATAAATGATTCATCATCATTATTTGTTGAATCTTGTTGTGATGATGATAATCGACTTAGTATTAATTCTTTACGTCGAAGAAATGATAGAAGTATTTGATAAATAGTTAAACATTCATTTTTTGATAATTTTGATAAACGTCTTAATTCAACTAGGGTTCGTCGTTCAATTCCTGCACGTGCAGGTGTAGCAAGACAATGAATAAGAGCATGTTCATTGCGTGTATCCAACAAAAGTGCCAGATATGTACATATTGTGTGCTTTATATAATTCTATACAGAAGAAGTATTTTAGAAAAATAGGAAAAAGCTATGAGACTCGAAAATAGTTCCATGTACTGAATTCAAGTGTCCGCATAGTTTTTAATGAGTCCCGTAGAATAGAGGGAAATGATTATTTGAAATGAGAATGCAAAAAAAAACCACAGTTTAGTTTTCTAGCATTAAATTGTTGTTTGAGACATGAATTATTCGTTCTATTGGTATTAATTATCGAATTCAAGAATATTCGAATCTATAGCACTCGTTCAAAAGGATGAGATCGTTATTGTAATCAAATATGTAACTCAAACTAATCTGATCAATTAATGTTGGGCATCTTTCCAACACAATATAAAAAAGTGCAATTGAACATTGAGAAAGTTCTATTAATAAAAATAAACTTTCCTTAACCATATAAAATCGAAACAATCGTTTGAATCTGTAGTTCAATTTTGAACACTAACTTCTAAAAGATGAATCCCTCACTGCAATAGAATACTAATGAATTTTGTATTATATTCAAATGTAAAAATTTTTCTGTAGAGCCTTCTCTAGTCTCTCATTTATTTACATAATTTTTTACTGCAAAGATTTTCAAATAAGCAAAGCGCTTTTGAGAATTTTAAAAGATCAGCAATAATGTTGGCGTCAATCTTTCAGCTCAAAATTCTGATAACTAGACTTTATGTAAAGATACAGATATCAGTGCGTAATCTAAAGTATTCTTATTTTAACTGTACCAAAGAATATGTACAATCTGTGAAGAGTTAACTCTTACACTCAGCGATATTCCATCCATTTGATGATAAGATATAAATCATAATTCATAGAAAAACTTTGAAAGATACTAATAACGAAGTCAAACAATAATTTGTAATTGAGAATCCTAAAATAACAATAAAAGTAGTTCATTGTCTACAACTTACTTTAGTAATTGTTTGTTCAGCATGATTTTTCACGTTGTCAAATAATTTCAGTATAGTCTGATTTGTTTCTACAGTTGATAACTGTGTGTTTTGATCATAAATAAATCGTTCCGATGCTATTTCTAATAAATAATTTAAAATTAATCGATCAATCTCATTTTTAACATTATTTATATTGAAAATAATTTTTTTAATAAATGATTTTAATTTACATTGATGAAATAAATCAATAATATCTTTTAAACCACAACGATTTAAATAATTATTATAATTATCTAGTAATACATCATTTTTAATATCTTGGAACTTTTTTTTACATAATTCAAAAAATTCTTTTGATGTTGATATTGTTTGAATTACTTGATAAATAATAAACATATCATGTAAACCAATTATAATATTTGGCTGTGTCGATTTATTTGAAATTTTGACTTGATTTAAGTAAGCTTTTGTAAAATAATAATCAATTAACCATGATGAAATCGTTGAAGATGAATCTTTAGCAAACAACATCAATTAAAAATCACAACAACAAAAGAAAATCAAGGTGTTTTTTTTTTACCTAATGAAACATCAATTAAATTCTCATCTTCAACATCATTAATTATCAAGTTAATCTGCATCTATCGTAAAAAAAAAAGAGTATATAAGTTTTACGTAAAAAAAAACCCTTCACCCAGTTTTATTTAAATAGAAAAAAAATTCTTGTTAAAATACAGTGAAATAAAAAATATGCTAAAGTTTATTCTTGGGCTTTAATAATCAATGGTTTTCCTTTTGGATCATCAAATCGATCATTTGATTTAACATTCATTAAATGATAAATACCAAATAATAAAATGCCTAAGCAAAGTAAACTTGATGTTATAGCCATCCATATGCCTCGTGTAAAAAATGATGTACAATAATTCGGTAGACCAAATGTTGATCCATTAACATTAAATGGTTGAAACTGAACGTAACAAAAAAAAAAAAAAAAAGATAATTGTTTTTATTTAAGAAAAAACAAAATTTTCATTTACTTGAAGATTTTTTATATAAAATTTATTACTAAAATTATAGAGCCCATAGGGTGACTTCGAATTATCATATCGAACAAACTCTGCTGTTGTACAAACATAAGAATATGTCGGTGGTGTTTCCATTGGACTATCCATTCCAGATACAAAATAACGATATTCATTTTGATTAAGAGTAACATTTTCCAAACTCCAAAAACGTCCCATTATTGTTGTAGTTAAACTTAAAAGTTAAGAAAATATAGTTAAATTTGAATTCTTCTCCAATGAAAAACGTTCAACGTAATCGTTATAGGATTAAAATATACACTATGATTAATCTGTTCCACTTTTTAAGCATTCCATATATGTAGACCGCTTTATTCTTGATAGTTAGATAGACTGAGCTATTGAAATACATGCCAAACTCTATGAAACTATAGGGAGTTTCGTCTATTATCTCTGCTCGTGTGGTATTCGGAGGTTGATTCACTTTTCTCGCTATGTTCTTTAACGCACCTTTCATTAATTACTTATTAACGAGGCGTAAATGAGTTGCTAATTAGTTATTTTCATAATGAAACCTCGCTAATGGCGAGTCGAAATGTCTGTAACAGTCTGTGATGGATGGCAAGAAATGAGTCCACGTTTCTACCTTATATACTTCAACACTCGTTTTGGATCGTGTTTTTCAAACTATAAAATACAATGGATTTGTTTCAATGTCAGGCAAGAATAATTGAGTAACAGTGGCGCTGACTTCTTAGCTATCATGCTGAATAAAACACTAGGAAAATGAAGCACACAATAAAAAAATAAACCAAAGACTACCAGTATGAATATATCTTATCTTTAATATGTACACTTTTTGTGGTTTTTGATACATAATTTATAGTTGATTTTTAGAACATAAAAACACAGCTTTGACAAATACGATGTCTTTTCTATTCCACTTCTTGAAACAATTATAGGATTTTTTTCGTAAATGAAATCGAATTGTTGAATGGCTGACTGAGTATTTCTATGTGAATTTTTTTATTTCATATTTAGCTTTCCTCTTTTTCTTTTAATCAATTATTTTTTATTCAATCTGTCGATTGAATTTCCTTTCGAAGGAGAAAAATCAGAAAAAATCATTAGAGTTGCATCAAAACGTCATATAGACTTGTTAAATAAGAACGAAAGTGACTATCAGTTCACATTATCAGTATTGTCTATATAATGAAGACAGGTAACATACTTGAGAGAAGAGAACACTCAAATCAAAGGTAAATACGAAATAGCAAAAAAAAAATAGAAGTTTCATCTTCTCTTGCCGATAAGAGAGAAGTGCACCGAAGTCACTCTATAGCACGTTTTCATGATTAAGTATTATTATTCTTCAATAGATAAAGTAACTTTTTATTCGCAACGACAAGAAAAGACACGATAGAAGACATAAATATGGTTTTCAGTCTCATGCACTTTCCATTTGACAAAAACAAAATTATTCATATTTCTCAAAGAAAAACAAGGTTAATTAGTACTGATCCCGAATAATGATTATTGATTACATTTCATATGCTTAAAAAAATAGTCATCTAAATTTACCTTACAGTTACATTATCGTTTGGGTTTTGATCATTATTCCAAACAAGATTAAGACTAAATTAGAAGAATGTTTATGTTATTTAAAAAAATAAGATATTATTTAAATTTTCACATACATAACTGAATTATTATTGCCATCCGGTGTTACATTCGGTTGACATGAACTTTTATTAAAATCAAGACTATAATTACGGGCGGATGGCAGCGCTCCAGTAGCATCATTCCAATATAAACTTTTCGCATAAAACATACATGTTTTATTATTCGATATCAGTACTGCGTTTTTCGCGACTTTGGTTTCCCGACGTTGACGAGACTGATTGTTTTTAGGAAAAAAAAATAGACAACATAAATTTTGAGGTTAATAATTGCCTAATAAAATAGGTGACATTATAGTTAATGTTTCACCATGTGATCTTATCATATCACATGGTGCAACACTTGCTATAGGAATATTGGATAGATGTATGTTCTACGCAGTTATATATTCTTACCAATATTTGATCATTAACTGGACCGTTCATGAGGGCGATAAGAGCAGCATTATTTGAATTTGTTCCAATTCTATTGATCGTTGCTTGTATTTCATTTAATCCTTAAATAAAAATGAGAATTTTTATTTCTCTTTTTTCCCTGTTTAAAAATTGTAACAAACCATCATATAATGTGTCATAAATATTTGAAGATGTTATTTCAAAGTGTATATGAGAACATTTCATATTGTTTGATCGTGGAATTAATGAAAATATTTTGTAAACATCATCGGCAACATTTGGAAAAAAACTGAAATTTCTTTCATTTTTCTATTAAATAAAGAAATATTTGAAGATAATGAATCAAAAATATTATCTTACTTTAGCATCTAATAACAGTGGATGATCACGTTGGGGACCACGTTGAATATCTTCAATAGTCAGCTAGATAAAGAGAAATCAATATATGATGATTTCTTTGGTCTCGAAACTTACATCGTTTACGGCAAAAATATGTAAATCAATTTGTTTATTGGTTGATTGACAGATATAATCAGATATGAGACTTAATGGTGAGAGCGTAGCCAAAGGTACATTTGATCGAGGGAGATTCCTGAAAAAATATATTAAACAAATGATTAGAAGAAAAAGTTAGACTTACACATTGCTCCAAAAAGTCACCGGTGATGCAAACACTTGAGTTTTTGAGTAAAAATTAATGAGAATAAATAGCAAGGGAAATATTTGAAAAATCATGGTGGCGGAAAAAGAACGAAATAAGTAGAATGACTAGCTTGTTTTTGTTTCATTCAAATCAATCATTTTAATCAAAGGGCAAAATAACACCAATCAAAAAGTTATCAATGGTAGAGGGCACTATTGACCTATATCAAAATAATTTTTTGATAAATCACATTCAGGTAATGCTATATTATTTCGTGACACTTTAAAGAAAAAACAATGAAATAGCTTAAACTTACTATTAATAAGAGAACTGCTCCAATTGATTAATCACTTTTCAATAGGAGCAATGCTCACTATGTAGATGTAGACACTTATGCGTTATGAATACAATCAAAAGAACGTGAATGTGAGTGGGTGGGTGGGTTTCAATGTTAGTGAGGGTAAAGATGAGACAAACACCCACATACCAAGAAGTACTCTTGCAATTCAGTATTTTATAAAGAAGAGTATCCTTCCACCCCTCTCAACTCAACTTCTTCTACTAGAGGATTAATAATAAGGGTTTCTCCTTCCGAAAACGTTGAACTTCCTACAAAACTTCTTCAATCTCATGGAAATGTTTGACAAATTAGCTGCGTTTATGGCAGAAATTCATATGAATACACTTTGTGTTAGATAAAGTATCTGCCTAGGCTGGCTGAGTGGCATCGCCATCTGACTCTTGAGTCAGATTCTAGAGTTTCGATACTCTGCCTGAGCACTATTCTGTGTCATCGATGATCAAAGCCAATGATCTTCGCGCCACAACACTAATTGATTATATGCAAACTGTTTATTGATCGACTCGACTGTTTCTCGAACTTGATTTACTCTAATTACTTGTAAAAAAACGCGAAAGCGATTAGAAACCGGGACTTAGGGTCTAGTTTCTGTGCTCATACAAATTGAATAAAAATAAAGCACTAATTAAAAAAAAAAAAAAAAAGATAAAGTATCTAAGAAAACATCAGTCGCAAACTTTGCCTCGGATTCAGAGTCAACATGTGGATAAGTACATGATGAACGCCTCGTACATTCTAATAATTTCTCTTAATGAAAAATCGAAATCAAACATTGTTCAAATTACATGACACATTTATAAACTACTAAGAATAATATAGAACTATAAATGCGATAAGAATCGCTTTTTTAATATCTGATTATATTTCTGACAACATTGTATTTATTTTTATGACTTAATTTTATCGTACATTGTTCAAACCGAAACATAATTAGAATAAGAATGAATACAAATGGCAGCAACTGATTGATGATTTTGACGCAATCAGTTCTTATGTATATGAATTTGGTTTAAATTAGTTGTTTTCTTTCCTAAATAGAATTAAGACATCGCTTATCTCCACAAAGAAACACTTTGGTAAAATCTTTATCTGTCTTTGTTCAATGCTGTTGGTAAATCCAATTAATATTTAAGAATATTGAAAACCTTCTAAAAAAACTCTTCTATTCAAAAAAGACTTTGATTAGAATATGTATATCATGATCTGTCACGTATCTGTCTTGGATCATATCAATCTGTATTAATTATCTAATGAATGAATAACAACTGTATCAAAAGAAAAATGAAAAGACATACAAATATAAGAAATGATAAAAAATATATGGTCGATATGCTCAATTAGATTCATTTTCCTAATAGTAATGTTCGCAGTTTGGGGTATGGGTGTTTACACATTTTGTTCTGTGCACACTGTCACAATATCAGTTGCAAATGTGACTATGCGGTCATTATTCTTTTTCGTTTTTCTTTTCTTCTCTTGTTCATTGATGGGAACGAAACGTGAGAAAACTAAAGACAAAATATGATGGAAAGAATTTTTCTTTGCTTCTTTCTAAAGAAAAAAATGCCATAGTAATGCTTTTACGGCTCTAGGCATCGGTACCATTGTCAGTACCTTTTAATTTCTAACCAAAAATGTCTGAACTGTTTAAAGTAGCATTCTTTCTGACTAAAACCTTTGTAACTTTCGGAATTATTTGGCAAGAGTTTAGAAATTTTAGGCGTTAATATTATCACGTCGTCATCATTAGGAATATCATAAACCAACATCAAAGCGAGTGAATAATTATTTCTCTTTGTTTTTGACACTAATAAGGTGTTAGGGTCTTCTTAGAGTAGAG